TCTTTCCCTCTCAAAAAATTAATGGAAAAAATATCCTCCAGTAAGGATTCTTTTTAAATGCTGGTCCCTGGGTCCCACCCCTAGAGACACTGATTCGGGCAGCCTGGGGAGCAGGGGTGCGAGCCGGCATTTTCAATAAGCCCTCCCCAGCGATTCTAGTACAGTCGGTGGGAGGCCCACATTTGACAGGCTCTAACTGCATTCACTAAGACCAAGTCCTCCATCTTTGTGGTCACAACTCACACGTCCCAGCTAAAGCTGCAAAAGCAGAACCAGGTCAGGTTCAATCCATCTCCCCACCTCAGAGCAGAGGACAATCAGCTAATTGCAGTCCTGTGGTTAATGATAAGATAGTTATCTGCTTAGGTGTGAATGTCTTGGCCACAGTGAGTTCTATTACCAGGACTCCTGGGGCAGTAACACCTCCAATAACTGGTGAGTGGGGGAGGGAAGACGAGCAGGTACCATAGTCTGGATGTGGAATATTCTGGAAGCCTTCCAGAAAGGGAGGCAGAAATGACTGGGCTTGCTTGTTATCACCCCCCCCCAACACACACACACACACACACACACACACACACATCTGGCTCAAACCCACAGGCTAGAACAGTGGCTCTCAACCTTCTGGCCCTTTAAATACAGTTCCTCATGTTGTGACCCAACCATAAAATTATTTTCGTTGCTACTTCATAACTGTAATGTTGCTACTGTTATGGATCGTAACATAAATATCTGATATGCAGGATGGTCTTAGGCAACCCCTGTGAAAGGGTCGTTCAACCACCAAAGGGGTCGCGACCCACAGGTTGAGAACCGCTGGGCTAGAAGCAAGAGTGAAGGTATTCGGAGATTAAGGTTATAGACAGGGGACAAGGATCAATGATAAAAGGCAAGAGTCTTCACAATGAAAAGCCAAAGAGGCTTAAGAGTCAAGATTCCAGCCCTGGCTGGTTTGGCTCAGTGGACAGAGAATCGGCCTGCAGACTGAAGGGTCCCAGGTTCAATTCCTGCCAAGGGCACATGCTTGGGTTGTGGGCTTGATCCCCAGAAGGAGACATGCAGGAGCCATTCAACCAATGATTCCATCTCT